AAATCTACATTTCCATGTTTGGTTGGCCCGGAATGTCATTCCCGGTAATCTTACATTACCAATAGTGAATTTTTTGGGTATATTGCCGAGAATGTCATTACCTCCCTTTCCTTAGGTATTGTTGAATTACCGGCGTTTTAGACTAAAATGCCCTTAATTTTTTTTCTTTCAAAAGTATCCTTATTATGTCATTGAATAATAAAAATTCTACGAATGTTAAATTACAATTTATCCTTAAAACTATTTTAGATTTACAAAAAAAAAATCTATAATTAAAATTTATATGAAATTCAAGGGTTAAAATAAAATTTTATCCTTTCATTAAACTTTTTTATATTTTAAATTTTGTAAAAAAATTAAATAAATTAAATAAATTTTATGAATTTAAATGTTTTAAAGAAAATATATAAATATCTTTTAACTTGTTAAAAAATAAATATATAATAAAGACAATTTGGTCAAATATAAATTCCAATAACATTTTATTTCTTTAACCAAACAAGGTAATCTTACATTCCTGCTAAACCAACCAAACACAAAATACAACATTCCCAATAATCTTATTCCCTGATAATCTTTTATTCCTACTGATAATCTTACATTCCGTGAATCAAACGCACCTTAAAGTTATTCATTAGAAAATAATTTTCAATTATTTTTGCATTGATAATACTAGACATCCCTTTCATTACTATTCACACCAAGTTGACTCGTCCCGTGAGCCCACGAGACTAATACATTAACCAACGTAATTATATGTTGTGGATTCATTTAACAAGTTTGTTTAGTACACTACAAAAAGCCCAAGTTTTACTCCGATCGGAGTATGAGTGTTCAAATTTATTATTATTATATAGGATTCTATTGAAATATATATCTACATATATTGATTTGACAAATTTGATTCGAATATGATTAATTGAATTAATTTAATCTATTTAAGTACGAATCAACTTACCTCAGTGGTTAAAGAAATTGTTGTTCATAGATGTTATGAGTTTGAGCATTAGTGACTATAAGGGTGATTGAACATTCATTGTTAAATGATTGAGAGTATTTAGAACAATATTACTTTATAATCATATTAATGAAATAATAAAAATTAAGAAAGTTACTCAAACAAAAATAATTTAAATTATATAATAGCATGACATACTAAATATAATCATTTTTTCTAAACCTACGAACAAAAAGTATGAATCAATAAAAGAAAAGTTCGAAGAATAACTATTCTACGCAATTGGTTACTGTTATAATATAATATAATAGTTTATAATAAATCTTAAATTGGGGATGTAGCTCAGATGGTAGAGCGCTCGCTTAGCATGCGAGAGGTACGGGGATCGATACCCCGCGCTCCATTTTTTTCCGACTTTTACGTAGATTTAAAAATCAACAATGAAGAAAATAGTCGGAACTTATCAAACGTTTCCATTGCAAGCTAACATAAACTTAGATATAAAGTTTAGTTTTGCTTCCCTAAAGATCAGCAACACCCAAAAAAAGGTTGGAATAATGTAATGTTTGTCCCCTCCACCTGTAGTAAATTTGTTCTCATCGATCGCAATCCCCACTTCCGCCGGACTTATCTATGGTGCTCAGGCCACCTTTACGACCATTTCTTGGTACCCTTCCTCCCCGGCTCCTCCCTCAGCCACCCTCACCGCCATTACATCAAAAGACATCCATAAAATAAGACTTACTGAAGTTCAAAATTTCCTGATAAGAAGAGTATCGTTTTCATGTTAGTATAGTCTTCCTGTTGATCAGTTAAATGTTAAATATAAATTTATATATAATTATTTGCCTTCCCCTACAATCAAGCTCCTCTCTTTCCTGTTGAGTATCCACGGTTTCTTCTTTTTTCTCTTCTTGGTTTAACTGCTGTTGACTGAGTTAAACCGTCGAGTTCTTAACCAGCGCGAGCTAAATGATGGGAGTTTCATTTTCTTAATATTGCACACACAATGGTAAATTACCTGTCAATTATATTATTTCACTTACAAATGTTGGGCTTATGACCTGAAGTGGACATTGTTGGGGATGAATACTATAATGTATGTGAAATAATTATCTGTCAATAATCATAATTATTGATTTTATATTTTATTTTAAATATAGTTTTTTTTATAGAATTTACAACGGAACACATTGCTATTAATACATATAAGTGCATCAACAGGTGTAGAATAGGTCAAATTAAAAATTATATGCATTTTGTTTATCGAATAGTTGAATAAGTGAAAACAATGATCACGAATTAAAAATTTTAAATTAAAATAATTTACAATTTATAACTTGTTTTGTATTTTTTACCATTAATCTTAATTATTCGTTTTCATACATTAATAATTTTAGAAATACTTTTAAATTTATATTATCAATGAGTCCTACTTCCACCAAATAAATTAATAATAAAATTTGCATTGACACATGAGTGCAAACTATATCTAAGACAAAATTTCTTACATAATGTGTTGGAAACAAACTTGACTCATTTAAGGCAAGGAGAAATTGTTTTGTCGAGACAAGATGTTTGCTATAGTGTCTTTGGGAAGACGTTTGGATCACTCGGTTTATTGAGAAGTCGCTTAAAAGACATATTTCTAATATTGTGTGTAGTTAGAACACTAAGCCTAACAGAGTAACAATATAGAAGATGATGAGTGATACAAACATCTTTCCAAAAACACTATAACAGATACTTTATCACAGCAAATAATTTTTCAACACCCTTAATGAGTTAATCTTTTTCCCTACACATTATTTAAGAAGTTTTTAAAATAATATATATTCGGATGAAGTTTGTGCATTTACTTAATCTGACCGACACATAACATCCCTAATATGGGGTTATTTGTTTGTCTCTTAATGGAATCATTCAACGCTGAATACTGAACCGTTCAGCGCTGAATACTGAACCGTTCAACGCTGAATATTGAACCGTTCAGCGCTGAATACTGAACCGTTCAACATTCAGCGTGTTTGTTTCGCACTTCTGAATGATTCAGTGCTGACTGATTCAGCAAAACAATTTTAAATGATTCAGCACAAAAGTACATTCTGAATGATTCAGAGCCATTATCAATAACATGTCACATTCAGAGTTAATTCATACAGAGACTCTAAATCATTCGGCATTTGAATCATTCCGCGTTTAATCATTATGAAGAAAACAAACCGTTGTTATATCTATAAAAATAAAAATAAAAAGATACTTGGATCGGTTAATACCCGGATCCAGCATCTATAAAAATCAAAATCCAAGAACTAGCAAACGAGCGCACTGAGGCACATTTTTTACACGTCCTTTCCTCTTTCTCCAGTGCCTTGGATTGGATCACTCCTCTGTTTCTCTTTTTTCTTTCACTCTCTCTTTTCAAATGTTTTAAATTCTCTGCTTCAGATCTCTTCGAACAGTTTTTATTTTTCTGTTCTCTCATCTCTTTATCAGTGTTCAGTTTTGACTCGTGATTGAAAGATCCGTTCTCAGCCGTTAGATCCACTCCTGATTCGTCAATCTTCATCCTTCGATCTGAGCCACCATGGCAGCCTCAACGCTCCCTCGCCATGAAGGAGGTCTTAACTGTAAGTCTTCTCGTTTCAGTCTAATTTCCCTCGCTCGGTTTCAATCGGTATTAATAGAAAGTTCAGCTGAATTATAGTTAATCATCGGTTTCCGAGCTTAATCGAATACTTCATAAACTTTATCAGATCTAATATATATATAAAACTTGATTAGATCTGTTTCGAAGTTGCTCTTTACGTTTTCAAATAGTGAGAATTTTTAGTGATCTGAATGATGATGTCTGTTTGCAGTTGCCGAGCGTTGGTATTAATCCACAATTTATCATTCACGAACGTAACTATGGAATCTGATAAGTATATTTGTGTGAGAGAAACGTCTCCTCAAAATAGTGTTGTGATCATCGACATGAGCATGCCGATGCAGCCCTTGAGAAGGCCTATTACAGCGGACTCTGCTCTTATGAATCCGAATTCTAGAATCCTCGCTTTGAAAGGTCAGTTTCCTTAACTACTTTCGTAATACTTTTTATTGGGGCACGCCTATTTCCGTATGAGATTTTCTTTATCTAATAAATGTGCCGAAAAAATATTTGAAATGGCATTGAAGCTTCTTTTGTTTAATGCTTGCTACTTGCTCTTTGCTTTCTAAAATGAACAAATTAATGTTATACCATATCTGTTAACTGCTAGATCCCTGTTTTTGGCTGTGTGTGAACTATGTTATTTGGAGTAATTAATGCTTTTCTGCTCTATTTTCTATTAAATATTTTTTGGTGTATTTGTTCATCAATTTGTTTGTTTGCCAAGAACAATTGCTCAGCTCTGCTGAGTGCTAGAGTCATCTTATAGTGGAATTTACTTCAATTTGATTCAGTGAGACAAAAAAAATATGGTTGAAATGCAAGTCATGAAGTACTTAATATGCCTTCTAATGAAAGTATTAAGGGAGAAGGAGATTAAATATCTCAACTATTTTTATGCCTTCAATTTTTATTTTCTAAGCTTTATATGTCATTGCTTTTGTAGCTCAACTGCCGGGAACAACTCAAGATCACTTGCAAATATTTAACATAGAGTTGAAAGCGAAAATCAAATCGCATCAGATGCCTGAACCAGTAAATTCATTTATTATCCCGTTTGTTATTTTTTAAATTTTTTTGTAATTGTTCATGGGTTATGTCATTAGCTGTCTGCCACATTCTTTATATTTCCTCAATAGTGAACATGATCGCATGCGCTTAGCAAAATGTCCTTGGTTCATTGTCCAGATTGTATTTTGGAAATGGATTAGCACAAAAATGCTTGGTCTGATCACACAGACCTCCGTGTATCATTGGTCAATTGAAGGTAAGAAGTTATTTTGTTAACTTATCTAGAATCACATGCATCTGTGTTTTATCTATTATATAATACTTTTTATATTATGTGTTTCATTGCCTCTTATTCCTTGCAGGTGATCTGAACCAATTAAGATGTTTGAGAGAACAGCTAATTTAGTCAACAATCAGATAATAAACTATAAATGTGACCCTTCGGAGAAGTGGTTGGTTTTGATTGGAATTTCCCCTGGTGCACCTGAGGTATGTAGCATTTTTTTTTTTTGAAGAAGGCATTGTTGCTTCATTTGTATGAAGTTTTGGGAATTTGAAATTTGAGACACGTAAGTAAATAAGGTTTTATGCCAAAAAACTGAACTTTTGTGATAATTTATTCTAAATATTTCCTTAAACTAACTAGGCCTAAAGAGTTCTAGCTGTGGTGGTTGTTGTGTGGGCCATAGTTCAACCATATAGGTGATTTATTTGTCTCTTGCATCCCTCTAACCCCATTTTTAGTTTTCTTTGCCTTTTCTTCTCCATTTTGTCTCTATACTGTCAGAATAGTTCCTTGCATTAATATTGTCAGTTATGAAAATCTATCTTTAGAAACTTTATTTGCTGCTACTATATAGTTCTGATTTTGATCCCTGTTTTGTCTCCTTTAGAGGCCACAATTGGTCAAGGGGAACATGCAACTTTTCTCTGTTAATCAGCAGCGTAGTCAAGCTCTTGAAGCACATGCTGCTTCTTTTGCACAATTTAAGGCAAGGGGATTTCTTGAACTTCTTTCCCCAGATATTATTATATCCTGATCTAACTAGCTAGTTATTTTATATGCATGTTTGAATCCGGCAGGTTCCAGGAAACGAGAATCCTTCCATTCTTATTTCTTTTGCTACCAAGAGTTTTAATGCTGGCCAGATTGTGTCAAAGTTGCACATAATTGAGCTTGGTGCTCAGCCAGGTCAGCTTGCTATGATTTCTGTTATACTTTTGTTATCCCATTTTTGTGTATGAAGGGATACTGATGGTCTTTATTCATGGAAAAAAAAACAATTTGCCATTTCTTCTTCAAGTAATCCAATAATCATGAGTACAATCAGAAATTACTTTTAGCTTTGACTAGGTCAGTTGGTTGGGACCTTACTTTATAAATTTGTGGGGGATTTTATTCAGTAATCCTAGAATTTTATCTTTGGCAATTCTAAATCATGATAAGTTAAAATTTTGATGGGGGTCTTTGGCTGTAAATTAACTATTCTTCTCTAAAACATAGGATTTACAAGATTTTGTTTTATTTCCTTCAGTCTATTAGATTCCAAATGGTCTTGATTATAATGGCAGGTAGGCCATCATTTTCAAAGAAACAGGCAGATCTATTCTTCCCACCAGATTTTCAAGATGATTTTCCAGTTGCAATGCAGGTAGCATAATGGCCTTGGCCCTTGATTATAATTATTTTTCTTGTTTTTTATAAAATTTATTTTTGTGCCTATTCTAAGACAAGTTTCTTTTAATTGGCAGATATCACACATATATAGTTTAATCTATGTTATCACCAAGCTGGGGCTGCTGTTTGTTTATGATCTAGAGACAGCAAGTGCCGTATACAGAAATAGAATCAGCCCAGACCCAATATTTTTAACCTCTGAAGCTTCAGCGGCAGGAGGGTTTTATGCCATCAACAGGCGAGGTCAGGTGTACTGGCTACTGTAAATGAAGCAACAATAGTGCCATTTGTTAGCGGCCAAGTATGTTTTTGTGCCTTCTCTGTTTTATTTTCTCGTATCACTAAGGTGAGGCACACCGGCTTACAACTTTTCCTGGTTGTTTTCTGTTTCAGCTGAACAATTTGGAGCTTGCTGTCAATCTGGCTAAAAGAGGAAACCTTCCCGGTGCAGAGAACCTGGTAAGAGGATTGATTTGTGTATAGTTTGGTCTATGGTTTGTGGATCTTTGCGTTGGAATGTCAATTTTGGAGCAAGAGCCTGATATATCAACTAAGAGCTATACATTTTGTGGTAACTTTCTTCATGAATTTGGGATTTCTTCAGTCTTGCTACAATGCTGAGATTGGTGATACGTTGCCCTCTTGTTTAGTGATATACTTCAGTGCCAATTATTGGTTGTGTTTTTGCATTGAATTCAATAATTATATATTTTTTAAAAAAAAATTTGCTGCATTTTGTTGACAATAATACCTAGTCTAAGTTACTCTATTTGAGCTGTTATTTTTATTTAGATCTTGTTTTTGCTTACTTTGTTCTTTCAATATATACTATGGTCTTGATTCTCTTGGTTTGGATATCTCAGGTTGTCCAACGTTTTCAAGAATTGTTTTCTCAGACAAAGTATAAGAAGCTGCTGAGCTTGCAGCGGAGTCTCCACAGGGGATCCTACGCACACCTGATACAGTCGCCAAGTTTCAGGTCTCATTTGCTTCATTTTTTATCATTTAGGTTCTGGTTTTTATGTTTTTGTTGATTTTATGTGAGGCGAAAACGTTTATCTGAATGATGTAGAGTGTACCTGTGCAAGCTGGGCAGACTCCACCATTGTTGCAGTATTTTGGTACACTTTTAACAAAAGGGAAGCTTAATGCATTTGAGTCATTGGAATTATCTCGACTAGTGGTAAACCAAAACAAGAAGAATCTTCTGGAGAATTGGCTGGCTGAAGATAAATTGGAATGTAGTGAGGAACTTGGTGACCTTGTGAAGGTTTGATTTGTACTCACCAGAATAAAATAGTATTTGTATGTTATAAATTGTCTAAATTTCAAAATAAAAAAATGTTCCGACGGTTTTTACTTTTTTTTTTGTTCGTCTAATTTCATTTTTCTATTGTTGTAGACTGTGGATAATGATCTTGCACTGAAAATATATGTTAAAGCTAGGGCAACTCCTAAAGTTGTTGCAGCTTTTGCAGAACGAAGGGAGTTTGACAAAATCTTGATATACTCAAAGCAGGTGATTGCCACATTTTCCTTTATGATGACATTTTCTGGTGCTATTGATGCATGATCTTTTTACACCCTATCACAATTGGATCATTTCTCCCACAAGTTTTTACATTCCTGTGAATGCTTGCATCAAATAGTCATGACTAAATTGTTTCCTCAGGTTGGGTACTCTCCTGACTATCTGTTCCTTCTGCAAACATTCTTCGTACAGATCCACAGGTTTGGTCTTCTTTTCTGTAGTCCTTAGTGTTTGAGGTGTTGAAAGCGTGTCATATGAATAATTGATAAATATGTTCAGTTGTATTAAATCTCTCATTAAAGTCCTTTTTATTGTTTGGCAATCAGTAGCTATTATTATGATCTTTTTGATCTGTAATTTTCATAGACAAAGGGGTTATAACTTGTTTTACTTGCAGGGAGCTGTTAATTTTGCATTGATGATGTCTCAAATGGAGGGAGGCTGTCCGGTTGATTACAACACTATTACTGACCTTTTCTTCAGGTCTGATGTTTATCAATTTGATTGTGAAAATAACCTTACTTTCGATACAAAACACATGAAATGTTTTCTTTGGGTATCTGCTTTTTCTCAGAGGAACTTGATACGAGAGGCTACTGCATTTTTTAGATGTTTTGAAGCCAAATCTGCCAGAGCATGCTTTTACAGACAAAGGTTATTTCTTGATATGCTGGTTCAGCTAATCTCTCTTTTTTGTTCCCGTTTTCTGAAAAAGTATAATATATGTAGTTCAATACCATTCTTTTCCATGCAGGTTTTGGAAATCAATTTAGTGACTTTTCCTAATGTTGCCGATGCCATTTTAGCAAATGGAATGTTCAGTCATTATGATCGCCCTCGAATTGCACAACTTTGTGAGAAAGCTGGTCTCTATGTGCGAGCTCTGCAGGTAATTATCCTATTAAGATTTATAATTATCTCATTTTTGTGGTTTTATACACTAATATCTCCCTGATTCAATTAACTCCTTTTTGCAGCATTACTCTGAGTTGCCAGATATTAAACGTGTCATCGTGAATACACATGCTATTGAGCCACAGGTACATGTTGTCCACTATCGTTATCTCCTGGGGAAGTTGGAGACTACTATGTCCTGATAATTTTTCAATAATAATTCTATTTCAGGCACTTGTTGAATTTTTCGGCACTCTTTCACGAGAATGGGCTTTGGAGTGCATGAAGGACCTTCTGCTGGTTAATCTAAGGGGAAACCTTCAAATCGTTCAGGTAAAGAATGTTGTATAATGGCATACAAATAATGTTTAGTAAATTACCGAAGAGTCGAAGACTAAGCTAGATGGCTTTGCAGGTTTCCAAAGAGTACTGTGAGCAGTTGGGTGAGGCTTGCATAAAACTTTTGAGCAATTTAAGTCATATGAAGGACTTTACTTTTTCCTGGGAACTTATTTAAGCTCAAGGTAAGCTATTTAACAGACATGAAATTTCCTTCGTTTATCTGGGCATAACACAGCTATTTCTAACTATGTTGTTTACTTCGGTTATGGGACAGTGAGGATCCTGATATACACTTTAAGTATATTGAGGCTGCTGCTAAACTGAACAAATAAAGGAGGTTGAGCGCGTAACCAGGGAATCAAACTTTTATGATGCTGAAAAGACAAAGAACTTCCTGATGGAAGCCAAGCTTCCTGATGCCAGACCCTTGATTAATGTTTGTGATCGATTTGGGTTTGTCCCTGATCTCACTCACTACCTCTACACAAACAACATGATCCGTTACATTGAAGGTTATGTTCAGAAGGTATGATATTCTCCACTAGATAGGTTCACTTGCACTGCGTGAATTTAATTTAAACAAGAGTAATTGTGATCTTGTTTGCTTGTTTGATAGGTGAACCCTGGGAATGCTCCTTTGGTAGTGGGACAGTTACTAGACGATGAATGCCCTGAAGATTTTATTAAAGGTCTCATTCTCTCAGTACGTTCTTTGCTACCAGTTGATCCCTTGTGGATGAATGCGAGAAGAGGTGATTTTTTTAGTGGATCTTGTGTCCTTGTTCCATCTTTTCATTATCATGTGATTCTCATTTTTTGCATTTGGTTTCCAAAATCGACTCCGTTTGCTTTCACAGTTCTTGGAGCATCTTGTAAGTGAGGGAAGCAAAGATGTGCATGTTCACATGCTCTGGGAAAAATTATCATTGAAAGCAATAACAATCCAGAGCACTTCCTCACAACCAACCCTTACTATGATTCCCGGGTCGTTGGTAAGTACTGTGAGAAACGTGATCCCACCTTGGCAGTTGTGGCTTACCGAAGAGGACAATGTGATGACGAACTTATCGATGTCACAAATAAGAACTCGTTGTTCAAATTGCAGGCCAGGTATGCAATCCTTTAATTATGTATGACAGTGTATCAGATCTTTGTTTCTTAGTGGCTTATTGGTTCATCATCCTTTGATCGCAGGTATGTTGTAGAGAGGATGGATGCTGATCTTTGGGACAAGGTTCTAAATCCTGAAAATGAATATAGAAGACATCTAATTGATCAGGTTGTGTCGACTGCTTTGCCAGAGAGCAAAAGTCCAGAACAAGTGTCTGCTGCTGTTAAAGCCTTCATGACTGCTGACTTGCCCCATGAACTGATTGAGCTTCTTGAGAAGATAGTGCTCCAAAAACTCTGCATTCAGTGGGAACTTCAATCTGCAAAATCTACTTATTTGACAGCTATCAAGGCAGATCCATCCAGAGTTATGGATTATATCACAGGCTAGATAATTTTGATGGACCTGCAGTTGGAGAAGTGGCTGTGGAAGCTCAATTATATGAAGAAGCTTTTGCAATATTCAAAAAATTCAACTTAAATGTTCAGGCTGTCGATGTTTTATTGGATAACATTAGAAGTATTGATCGAGCCGTGGAATTTGCTTTCCGAGTTGAAGATGCTGTTTGGAGTCAGGTGGCAAAGGCACAACTAAGGGAAGGTCTGGTGAGCGATGCAATTGAGTCATTTATTCGTGCAGATGATGCTACTCACTTCTTTGAGGTTATCCGAGCTTCTGAGGATGCTAATGTCTACCCTGATCTGGTGAGGTACCTTCTGATGGTCAGGGAGAAGGTCAAGGAGCCCAAGGTGGACAGTGAACTCATATATGCATATGCAAAGATTGATAGACTGGGTGAAATTGAAGAATTCATTCTCATGCCAAATGTGGCTAATCTTCAAATGTTGGTGATCGGTTTTTTGATGAAGAGCTCTATGAAGCTGCAAAAATCATATTTGCATTTATATCTAACTGGGCCAAGTTGGCTGTTACACTTGTGAGGCTTAAACAATTCCAGGGTGCTGTTGATGCAGCACGGAAAGCAAACAGTGCCAAGACATGGAAGGAAGTTTGCTTTGCTTGTGTGATGCAGAGGAATTCCGATTGGCACAGATATGTGGTCTTAACGTGATTGTACAGGTAGCTTACTTTCAGGTTGACTTGCAATTTTTAGGAGTAATGAAGTCATTGCACGTTCAGTTCCCCTTTCCTTCTCATGTTTATCTATTGGAGACTGCTTTTCTGTGATGATTTTGACCAATATGTTTGCTGGTTTTCAGGTGGATTGGAAGAAGTCAGTGAATACTATCAGAATAGAGGATGCTTCAATGAGTTAATCTCTCTCATGGAGAGTGGTTTAGGATTGGAACGTGCACATATGGGTATCTTTACTGAATTGGGAGTTCTGTACGCCGATATCGTCCGAGAAACTTATGGAGCACATTAAATTGTTTTCTACACGCCTCAATATTCCCAAACTGATAAGAGCTTGTGACGAGCAGCAGCATTGGAAGGAACTTACCTTTTTGTATATCCAATATGACGAATTCGATAATGCTGCAACTACTGTGATGAACCACTCTCCTGATGCATGGGATCATATGCAGTTCAAAGATATTCGTCAAAGTTGCTAGTGTTGAGCTATTACAAGGCTGTCCACTTCTACTTGCAAGAACATCCTGATCTCATCAATGATATGCTCAATGTGCTGGCTCTTCGTGTGGATCACACTCGTGTTGTTGATATCATGAGAAAGGTTCCGTTCTGGCAGAAAATGATCTAATATTAAAATGCAAGGACTTTCTTTACTATTACCTTAATTAACTTTGGGTTGACAATTATTTCCTTCCTGGTGTTTCAGGCTGGCCATCTATGCCTTGTGAAGCCATACATGGTTGCTGTTCAGAGCAACAATGTGTCGGCAGTAAATGAGGCATTGAATGATATTTATGTTGAGGAAGAAGATTACGATAGATTGAGAGAATCTATTGATTTGCATGATAATTTTGATCAGATGGACTTGCACAAAAGGTAAATTATTGTTTTCCTTACATTTGTTTTACTGTTAGGTTTGTTTCTGATATTAAACTTCTAATTTTTTGGTAGTTGAGAAACACGAGCTGCTTGAAATGAGGCGTGTTGCTGCATATATTTACAAAAAGGCAGGTAGATGGAAGCAGTCCATTGCCTTGTCAAAGAAGGACAAACATTCGAGATGCAATGGAAACAGCTTCACAGTCTGGTGAACGTGAACTTGCCGAGGAGTTGCTTGTTTATTTCATTGATCAGGTACTCGACTCATTCCCGAATATGTAAAAATATGCAGACTCATAAACAGTATCTGCTTGGCCAACTGCTACTACTTATTATGTTGTTTTTCTCCCACCTGTTCCTCTCGGGTTCAAGTAAAAGCTTTGTTTTTATTTTTCATTTTTCTTGAAGTATGTGTCTAACACATATTTGGGCAGGGTTATGGGATTGACCCTGGGTCTCTTCAACTGCATGAAAAAACCTAAATATAATGTCGGACACATTTGTATCCCACACATCTGAGTCTGAATACCATAGGCTATAAGTATAAAACCATTGTCTTCGCAACCACAATATAGGTATAGGAAACGGAGAGTATAGTCATTAACGTATGCATGTTTTTACACTATGGTGGTTCTCCGTCTGTATTATCACTGTAATGTTATTGTTTTGAATTGGACATAATTTCAGTGTCGACCTTCTCTTTGTACAGGGCAAGAAGGAATGCTTCACATCGTGCCTCTTTGTCTGTTATGACTTAATTCGACCAGATGTTCTTGAGCTTGCCTGGATTAACAACATGATCGACTTCGCATTCCCGTATCTGCTGCAGGTGATTTATGTGCTCTGCTGCATTCGGTTCATCGTTTGGTTAATAGTTTTATTAGCTAAAACGCTTTGATGGTTGATCGAGTGCAACTGCTTATTCTACCATGATTCTTTTTTGTTCAAGATAGTTCTGATTTTATATTATTTTGTCATTGATTTTCAGTTTATCCGCGAATATACTTGCAAAGTTGATGAACTTATCAAGGACAAGATTGAAGCTCAAAAGAAGTAAAGGCTAAAGAGCAAGAAGAGAAAGAAGTCATTGCACAACAGGTAATAATACCTTAAAAGGCCGAAATTCAACTCCATTTTCTCAAAATGTTTTCTACTCCTGCACGGTGGGAGTAGCTAGACTTTGAGGGATTCAAAGTCGTAACTGTTAAATAAATGCCTTATGTTGCAGATATGTTGCTCAGCTGCTACCTCTTGCATTGCCCGCACCGCCAATGCCAGGTATGGGAGGACCAACGATGGGTGGTGGATTTGCACCTCCCCACCACCCATGGGAGGAATGGGAATGGGAATGGAATGCCTCGATGCCACCTTACGGGATGCCGCCAATGGGAAGCAGTTATTAACTGTGACAGGTTTGTTTGATGAAAAAGCTTTTAGCCTAGTTGTTTCGTTCTGTTGCAATGACGGAAGACTTCTAATTCGTAGTTCCAATTATGGCAATTTCGTCAGGTTTTTGAATAATGACATTTTATATTTTGTCAATTTGATAAGTTATTTTGTAATATTCTTTTTGTGGTTGAAAGATCATTTTTTTGGCTGCTGGCAAGAAGGGGTAAGCCGAGGATTATTATCATAATGCATATTGTATTTGTAGTATTTTCGTTTGATGATGTCCTTGGAATTGGCCCAGCAGTATATACGAAAACACCACTTCACATTTCTTTGTTTCTTCTTTTGCTTCAATTTTTTCTAATTTGAGACAGAAAAAATTGTTTTTGATTTATATATATGTTGGTTACATTTTATTGGTAGAATTGTTGGTATTCTGATTATGCAATTTGTGCTAAATGGTGTTTTGATTTGAAACAAATTTGTTGGAATTTATGAATCCTCCGTTTTTTTTTTAACATTCATGGTAGTGATGGTATCCGTCTGTAACCATTGTTTTGTTACGTGAGAAAAGAACAAAAAGAAAATATCCTCTGCTATCATTTTATCTCTGGAAAATCAAAATAAAAATAATTTGTAATACAACTTATAGAGAAAAATTAGGGAGAACAAAAATGGGAAATTTATTTGGATGTTCTGTTTCAAGGGAGAAATTAGTATTGAGGACGACAGATGGTGCTTCGAAGGAAAATAAGATTGAACAGATGGTTTTGATTGCAGGATGTTGAAATTTTATTTTAATATATGTTGGTTTTAGATTAATAGAAGAAATGATGAGTGGGGAAGAAAATGATGAGTTTTAAATTAGTGGTAAAAATGGAGGGAAATATGAAACGATGGGATGCGTTTCTAGGTTTTAGATCAATGAAGGAAATTGTAATAAAGATGGGTGGGATTTTAGATTTATAAATTTAGGCTGTTTAGCCTTTTTAGATTGCACGGTGAGTGACAGTTGATGGTATGCAAGAAGACTGAAGATGAGGAACTGGAGTAGGGTTGAAGATCTCCTTTTTCAACTTTTTGTGCACTAGACAATGAGATGAATGATGTTATTATAATTAATGATTATTGACAGATAGATATAAATAATAAATTCGACAGTTAAATAAAAAATTTTCGATAATAAAATTGATAACAATTATTTCAAGAAGATTGTAGCTGCGTGAAGGAACGGTGGTTTAATACTAAAGGATCCTTTTCTTTCAATTTGTTTGTGCACTAAATAATACGATCCTTCTTTCAATTATGTCAAAATAAGATGATTGACGATGACTACTGATAGAAATAGATAAATTTAATTGGCGGATATTATTTAATTATAACCAGAAATCATGTTGAAAAATTGTATCTAGATAAATATCGAGATAGGGGCGCTCTCATACGGGATGCCAATGGAAGTTATGAATAAGTGATGGCAGCGGAATAATTTTTCAAGGAAGTACAACAATTATGAAGAAATTTTAAATTTATATGCTATTTCTTAATTAAAATATAAATTTTTTAATACTATATCAAATGTTGACAAAATATAAGGACAACAAAGAGTTTTTAAACAAAATACAGTTGAAACTCGTAATACCCAAATATATTTGAAGTACCGGGTTTGAATATGGTTTTTAAAAAAGAATATATATTAATGTCTTATCTGTCCATTCTTGTATTTTTCACGTATTCATTCTGAAAACATACGCATATCCTACCCTTCATCATAATATCCAACATAAATATTCAACAACTATAACCGAGCATAGCAACATCCAAATATTTTTCTTCCAAGTTGTTCACTTCAAAAAGGCATTATACCAAAATTAATCCCCAACATTTACCAAAATAATCATTTTAACCCCATATCCTGCAACATTTTTTCGGGTCAAAAGATCCCTTACATTTGACAAAATAATCACTTGTCTCTATCTTTTTTAGCCCCCAAAGTGAAACATTGGGGGTTAAAATGTTCCAAAAAAGAATAGGGACCAAAATGACCATTTTGGGTAAACATTGGGGCTGTTTTTGGCATCATGCCTTTCAAAAACGTACACATATCCACAACTATACAAGGGCATTGCAATATCCAAACATACGACAACTATACACGAGCATAGCACATCAACAAGCACCATACTACAACAACAGACGAATTGCAATATCAAAAAATACACATCACCACAACTAACACAGAAGCATGCATATCCAACATACACTATGCAACTATACACATCATATCATACCGAAAAGCATACACGTATCCAAAACTACAACGAGCATTGTAATATTAGACATACACGTATCCAACAACTATACCAAGCATATCAATAACGAAAAAACATAAACGTATCCAAAAACTATAGCTGCCAAGCACTGTAATATCCATAATACACATATTCCACAGCTATACCCAACCAACCCAAGCATATCAATACAAAAAATACGTACATGTATCCAAAAACTACACTCGAGCATTGCAATATCTATACTCAATCATAGCAATATCCAAATATACACATGTATCCAACTATAAACAAGCATAGAAATACCCACAAAATACATGTATTGGAAGCTATACCAAGTACGCAATACCAAAAACATAAATGAATACGACAACTTTACACAGCATAGCAAAATCCAACCATGCACATATCCACAACAAGAGCCAAACTTGAGTAGCATTCTAGATTACACATTTTTTACATCTGACAAGAACTTGCAAAATCATGTCACAAATACAGAAATAGAAATCTGATAAGCCTAGTCGCTAACAATAGCTTCCCTAAATTCAAATCTACAGACGTAATCTTCCATAAGTATGTAATAACATAGTATTTGCAACTTCATGAAAAAAATCATTAAAAATAATCCAAAACCATAAGATTTATCAAAGAAATGTCATGTTTCCATAAGATTAAATGGTTCGATAAAGGTAAATTACTAGATTACTTAGATCTTTGTCTCATCTTTCTCCTCTTCCTCTTCAACCTTCTCATACGCTTCTTCTTCCACTGAAAATCACCAAAAATTCAAAAACCCATTTCAACATTTCAATTAAAAAAAGAAGCAAAATAAGGATAAAAAATAAGGATCATGCTTCGGATGGTTAGGTTTTCACCTTAGCTCTCATGGTGAAAAGGCTTCCAAATGGGTCTCTTTCTGCAGCTCAAAATCTGTGTGTTTTGCGTAATTCTTCAAAAGCTGCGACGACAACGAGAAAGGGTAAGCCGGGGCAGTGAGATTATATAGAGAGGTTTAAAACCCTAAATTCTTAAAGGTTTGGGTAATTGGACTTTGACACTTTATTGGGTTAAGCTAATATTGGGCCATTTTGGCCCATGACCCTCATCCACATCAAAGACGAGCATAACTATATCCGAATTAATTAAATTATCTGTTAGATATCTAACCCCGCATGGTTATGTGTGACCATTCAATCAATTAATAGGTCTTTAACTATGCGTTTCATAAGTCTATGAACTTAAAATAAAGCTTGTAATGGTTCTGATAGTCTGAACTTGGAAATCTGAATATATATAACTCTACTTTAAAGTTGATTTAAACGATAGATATTCAAAACTTTAAGGTATAGTTAGGGGTAAGTATTTAGTCGAATGAGTAAGAAAGATTTGATTTAATCGAATTTATGAGTCTTATTTTATGATTCAAAATCTATGTAAAAACTTTTTAAGTCGGATCAAAACTATAAGATTCGAGTCGAGTTGTTTGAATTTCTCTTTAAATTCAATTGTAATTTTTATAATATTACGGTACATATTGATTTCAAATTAAACAATGTTTTTGAATCATATAATATACACATATACATTTCTTTATATTTTTTATGTTTGAGTAAGATTTTGTAATGTTATTTAATAAATCTAATAACATATGAAATTATAATATATATATATATATAATATTGTTATTTATAGGATAAATTATTGATAAGAGTATAAAGTCAAAAGAATTGATGAGAAAAAAAACATAAAATCAACCAAAGGATCAATTGAACAAAATAGGATTAAGTTAAAAAAATATAAATTTATTCTTAATAGGAATTAAAGCTACATAATTCTATAATATTAATAGAGCGCGTGGTTTAAATTTAATCAAAACTAGATTTAAAATGATAGAATAATTGAAAAAAATAATTAAATGATATAAAGTTGAGAGATTAAATAAAAAAATTGGTCTCAAAAAAAGAAATCGAAGCTACATGAGTATTTTACAATATATGATTTAAAAAAAATATAAATAAAACAAAATATAAGTAATAGTTTAAATATTAAACGTTTAGTTTTAAAATTATTATTATTAACACTGGAATGGACGGTGCATGAATATTAAAAGAACTAGTTTTCTCCGATAACAACAGCCCACGTGCAAAAGGAAATCGAAAACGACACATTATTCATTGAACAAATTCATTGAGTTACATTAATGACCGAAATATTCTGATGAAGAACCCGATCTGATTCAACTCGGAGAGAAGTTCTACAGAGTGGGCAACTCGACTCAGAACTCAACCACCTGTCAACACACTCAGGATGAAAAGTGTTGACAATGAGCAGAACCTTAGCTTTCTCACCATCTCCAAACACTCCAAGGCATATAAAACACTCACTCCCGCTCGTCGCAATAGTCAACGGCAACGCATTGATCGTATCGGAGTCCAGTCCTGGAGGCTGCCGCGGCGCAGGAGGCGGAGGCGCGTGGGAGCTTTGTGATAGCTCTTGTGGATGGCGGGAGCTACATATCCACCGACCGTAGATGAAAATAAGAATGAATATAAGGACGATAGCAAAGAGGACGACGGTCAAGAAGACAGCACGGCCGCTGATTTGGAAGTCTTGGTCTGACGCCATTTTTGGGGAAGTCAATGCTTCGAGGTTTTTTTTTTTTATAACAGTGGAGGTTGAGTTTAGGCATCTTTTGAAGTATTTGAAATTTTTAGGTTAGTTTTTATCGATTAACTGAATAGTCTAGAGGGAGAAGTAATGTTTTTCAAAAAGTTTAGTAGAAGTAATTGAAAATTAAAAACTTTACAAATGATTTTAGAGTGGTATGACTTTTCAATTAAGTCTACATCCACTACCTTAGCATCCACGCTAAGAATTTCTTAAATTCACTAATTTTCTTATCTTTAAGGACAATGTGTATCTTACAAACAATTTAAGGTTTATCCAAAACCTTGAATACACACTCTCCCATAGTATTACAAATTAAGCAAACTAAGAGAAAATCCACAAGGTAAATATGTTTGCACAAATTTAAACACACACTCAATCACACTTAAGTAAAATAAACAATGTAGCTCACAAGTGTATATACCATAACGAATTTGATAAATTAAGCACAAAAGAATACTTGATATTGGTAGTTCGTCAATATGGTTTTTGTTTACCTTGTTTTGACCTTTAATTTATACATTTTCGATCAATTCTAGCCGTTGGAGATCATTATAGTTGTTACCTCAACCAAAAACATTTAATGAACAAGGGATCAATCTTTTTAGTATTGAAAAAAAGGGTATAATTTAGGCATTTATTTTTATATTAAGCCTAATTTTTTTTATTATAACTATCTTTATATGATTTTTGATCGATAGTTGACACGATAATGTTAGAATTCAAATCTTGGATCATACATTTCATCTTTGGACATGATAATCTTCTCTATAATATTATGATTTTATTACATGTCGTCAAATAATAATCATAAGGGTAAACTACATCAGATATAACTAAATTTTAGGCATTGTATCGTTTCTATCAGTAAACTTTCAATTTTGTCAATTATAATACTGAATTTTAAATTTCGTTTCAATTTATTACTGATTCATCAAATCGTTAACGACACGGTGATGTGGCTAGGGATGAGCATGGGTCGAGTTGGGTAAGGTTTCCGATCAACCCAACCCAAAAATTATACAGCTTCCACCCAATCTGAACCCGGCCCGAAAAATACACATATTTTTATCGACCCGAACCCACCAGCCTTTTTGAGATTAAACTCGAACCCGACCCGATCCAAAATAATATATTTATAAAAAATAATACTTTTGTTTAATAAAAATAGAGATTTAATTGAAAAAAATAATATATAGAGGGATATTATTGCAATGATCCCTAAATATATAAGATAAAATTATATTTTTTTCAGGTTGGATATTTTCACCCTAAATCGAACCTGACACGACTTGAACATACCTATAAAAAACCCGACCCAAACCATTTTTTTTTAAATCTTAACTAAATTTTCAAAAAAAATCTGACTCGATAGGATTGGATCGAATTAAAACCCGTCGGATTCAAGTCTCTTGCCCATCTCTAGACGTGGATGATGACTATCGACGTGACTGATGGCTACCAATGTAGACACCTCACCAAAACGACGTCAATTTGACCATACTATTAAAGATATTACGTCAAATGTATAATTGAAACGAAAATTAAAGTTAATGTTATAATTGATAAAATTAAAAGTTCAAAGGTATCGGTGTAATTTACCCTAATATAATTTAAAACCACTCCTTGAGAAGTGACACGTAATTGACGTAAAATTAGGATTGTCACCAAAGCTAGAAATGTAATAAATAATGGAAATTGACATCTAAAACCCTAATGGACATTGAGAACAATATGGCTTTATCTACTCAAGCAAGTTGCTTGGAAGTGAGTTTCACATGGTGGCCATCAAGTTTGAATGGAAAATAAAAAAAATAAAGTTATAGTAATTTGAAGAAAAAATTATATAGACGGTCCATTATGGATAATTTAATTAATCTTTTTAAAAATAGCTATCCATGGAATGAAGAGCCAATTTTGCGTTAAGTTTTGGGTTGCTTTGTTATGCGGAAATCGGATTAATCTTTCACGTGACTCAAAAATAGTAAATTTTTAGTAACATATTGATTGAAATGACAATCAATTTATATTATTTATATACTTCGAATTTGAGGTTTTATGTTGAAAATTTTTACTGATAGATTTCGTCATTAAAATTAGAAGTGCGATATAAGTTAATATAAATTAATCAGGGCAAAGTCATAAAGAATAAGGAATCAAGAGGGTAACTAAAAAATAATATTACTTTTTTTTTTAATTTGAATAAAAAAATAAATCAATTATATGTGGATGTTTAAGTAGAGGTAATTATCGAGAGAGTCGAACGCGAGTTTGGTAGTGTTTGTTAAAAAAATTTGTTGTTTGATTCGGGTCGTTACTCGTTAATGTCATTATGATTTTGCTCAACTCGTGCTTGTTAAAAAAACTTGTTACTCAATTTGACTCGTTGCTCGATTCTTTGTTGGTTAAACTCACTAAAAATTGATTTTATTATTTTAACTATGAGTAAAATCTACTAATATATAGTTTAATATAAAAATTTAAACCCCAAAGTAACAATCCACAAATAAAACAACTAACATATTAAAATTAAGGTAACAATTCACGAATACATCAAATTAACATATTAAAAACATTCTTGAGAAGAAAAAGAAGTTCAACAATAAATAATCAGTACTAAAATAAAGAAATCAACATATCTTCACTCCATTCATTATTGCTTGCAGCCACCAAACTATTAAAAAATCATATAAAAAAAATTAATGAGTTATTCGCGAACTTATCAAATCGAATTGGACTTTGCTCGACTTAACTCGTTAAGATCTCGAGTCGAGTCAATCCGAATTAAATTTTGACTGAATTTTAACTAAATTGTATTCGAACAACTCGAACAGATTAACTTATTAATCACCCCTATATTAGAACCGTTTATCATCATCCTTAATGTTTTGGGGTATCTAGAGGGGATTGACCTACATTTTTAATTAATTTCAGTTGTAATTTTTTATTAATGATATTAGTCGAATCACTTACTAAACCTTAAGATATTAATATTTGAGAAATTTTAATTAAAAATAATAATACAATTACTTATTTCCTTTAAAAGTTATAATTCATTATTGTTCTCATAAATTTAAGTTATTTTTAGGAATGCCCCTTAAGTTCCGCTATTGATCCGAGTTTAAAATTGAAATTTCGATGAAACTTAGCTCAAACGATGCGATTTATTGGATTAGAAAGGGGCGAGCAAGAGCCGGTCCAAATTGATTTAATTGACAATTTTGAATCGGACTGGTCGATTATGATGATCAATTTAAGCTAGATTAGTCACTTACAGTTATTAAAAATTCATTTTTTTAATTAAAATAAAGACCAGAGCCGGTACATCAAGTCCTTATTCGACTATAAGAGAAGTCAGAAACGTCTTTAGATAAATTTTAAGAATCAGTTGGAGGCAAGATAACAATCCTGAGAGTGTATATTTTCAGATCGCTCAAATTATAACTTGTATCCTATCCGAAAAATTGAATATCTGAATTATTCGGGTTGGATAAAAAATAAAATTTTATATTTAATTATTCAATCACAATAAATAATTATTGGACAAATAAAAAATAACTTTTTATATCCAAATCCGAACATAAACTTTAATTTGACAAATAAAAATAAAATTTTATATATAGTTTTATACAATATTTTCTATACCCTACTATATTCCCCAAATATATTTAATTATTCAATCACAATAAATAATTAAATATCTTAATTTTTTTTTATTAGGATACAACCTCGGTGAGCTAGTGAATTACTCACTTATTGAGCTAAATGATATCCAAACTCTAAAGACCTATTTTTATTGGATTTTCGGATAATCTGAAATTAGGATTTACATGATCCGTATTTGATCCATTTATCCAATTTTTTCCCGATATTTGATCTAAATTATCCAAAAATTATAAAATGAATTGAATATCCAAAATTTTGAATCAGATCAATAAATCGAATCAATCAGATCAGATTTTTTACACACCCTTAATTATCTCTTGGTCTACGACCCTATTACATTGGAACAAAACTAACAATAAATTATAGAACCGATTCAATATTATGAGTATGGTCAGATGATAAATTTAGGATAAATTATATAAATATTTATCAATTTATTTTCATTTTTGTTACTAGTCATCAATAAATTATTTGTTAATAAATTTGCTAAAATTTATATTAAATTATACTATGTCACTACCTTAAATCATATTAAAATATAATTAGTATACTGAACCTAAAACTTTTATAAAAATACAATATTAATCGCTAAATCAAACTATATAATTATTATATTTCTAACTAAACCAGTATTCAACTTAAACTATGATTAAAACTGAAGAGCAAATTATAATTATTTTCTCACCTCATTTGAGAATAAAATTATATTAAAATATTAATTTATTTTATTCCTAAATGAAGTGAGAAAATAATTCTAATTTGGTCTTCAATTTTAATCATAGTTTAAATTAAATATTAGTTTGGTTAGAGTTATAATAATAATGTATTTTGCGTTAGTGGTTGAACATTGAACCCTTTCCATATCAGTTCACCCCAATTATAGCTTAACATGATTTTAAGACGATGATATAGTAAAGGAGAAAGGCTTTTTTTATAGTTTAAGAGGTTGATAAGAGGGTTTGCTTTCTGGCATGTTGTGAGTCATCTTGATGATCAATAAACTAGAACTATATATTTATGTCGAGTATGAATGCGCTTCGCCCCTTCATATGCAGGAGGCAGAATCTTGTTACTCCCACGAGTTGCTATCTAAGAAAAGATAACGACTATCAGCTGACTACTGGAGCGTAATAGTAGAATCCCTAGCCTGTTTCACCCCTTACTATCTCCGGTAGAAAAAAAGGTTATACGTCAGGTAAGAAATTCACATGACAGAGTGGAATTTATGCTTGTGGAAGTTATTGAGTAATTGGAAATGAAAGGATTAGTTGTACATCCGTTCAAGTGGTGTGTGAGTTGGGCTTGAACATAATTAGTTGA